TATGTATATATATATATATATATATATATATATATATATATATATATATATATATATTTAATCATTACATATATAATTAAATCATTGGTGCATTTTTTTACAGGTGTAAAAAAGTATACGATGGAGTAACTCATGCAGGAAAACTTTATCCAAATGCATATCTTATTATGATACTGATTGGAACGCTCAAAGGTTGGACATAAAATATAGAATATATATCACATTGCCTTCAAAATATATAAACGCGCATTCTGATATGAATACATTTAACAATTGAATTATGATATGAATATATTTAATTGTAACATTTAGGTAATGGAGCTGGATTTACAAAATTGTTTGAACGTCTCATACGTGGTGTATGGACACCAACCGCCATGGAATTTATGCAACCAAGTTTGTACGTTGATAATATTTATATTTGAACGAATGCTTAGATTACATATGCAAGATTTATTAAAAATAATTATATTATAATTTTTAAGTAACAAATTTAATGTTAATGAATGATAATTTTCCTTTACAGTCCCACGAAGGCATCCATGGTTGCATCAATTATTTTCGTATTAGATAAGAAGACTGATCTCATTTCTGCACCTCATGCTCTTGTATACTTTGGTATTGTCATCTTCTTCGTCTACTTTAAGGTAAAGTCTATAATTTCGATTTATATGAAATTTTGATGTACATAAAACAAGATAATATTAATAATATTATTTTTCAGTTATCATCAATTTTACTTGGCATTCATGATCCATTTGTACCATTTGAAAACTTATTCTGCGCCTTATTCCTGGGAGGAATTTGGGATTCACTCGCTAAATTATTGGGTCATGGTCAAGCTAAGGATGAGAAGACGGACACAAAGAAAGCAAATTAAATAATAGCAAACACCAAAATACATCTTCAAATATTTCAAAACACATGTGTCAAATCAAATTTTATTTGTATTTTTTTCGGAAAACATGATTTCATCAAAAATTAACATTGGCTACTTAAATTGATGAAATAAAATTATTTAAAACTAGTCAGATGATAAGAGTTATACATAACTCTTGATAAATCATCAAAAATGTGTTGGAGAAAAGTACAATAATTTAATATATATACATATATTATTTTAAGAATAATGAATTTTCAAAGTGTGTCTTATAAAAGTATCAACAGTATTATTTTAATTAATATAAAATACAAATAACTTTCAAGTAAATGAAGAAATTTCAAAGTATGTTTGTGAATGGATCTTTCTTTTATCAGTTATAAGTGCAATATTATTTATGGTTTATTTCTCTTTAATCTGAATTATCATTATATATATGATATATAGATAAGATATATTAATTTAATCAATAAACACTTGAAATATATTTTTTTCTTGTCAATTTTGATAGTACATCTTGCATAACTTATTATAATTTGAATCAGTTGATTTTGAAATTGCTACCAAATTGTAGTGCAACATATAACTTTTATTATTATATGAATGCATGTTAGAATACATTCTAGCAATTTTTGAAACATACATGTTAAATAAACGGAATTGTTTTATTTATTATATAATATTTATAGAAAAAATAAATATACTCAGGACAAATAATTGATAATTACTATCATTGAATTATCTAATTTATACAATAAAACAAATAAAACATATTAAAAGAGCAAGGCATATAAGTCATAAAAGTCTATACAATAATACTTATGTAAAAACATGCAGTATGACGAAATAGAAATGCCTCTTTTATACTATTTTATTAAATTTAAATATTAATATTATATATTATATAAAAATCACACGGACACATGCGCGTGCGTGAGCGTTTAATTTAATTCTCAACAATTATGTTGTCCTTTGCAATTAGGAATATCCATATTTTAATTGTGAAAATATTATACATTTTCATATAATAAAATGGGATTTGAATTAAAAATTGTGATTTATTTGATTGCTTCGAAACAAAAATTAATTATTAAACTGTAAAATTTATTTATGTAATATATATTTCACATTTATTGATTTTTATTGCATGAAAAGTTCTGCTTATACGTATGATTGTGACGTTCTATACAAGTTCTATACAAGTCAGTCCTTTTTCGTGTATACTTGTGTGATTTTACATACAATGGGATTCTGGAAACAATTCGTTGCTTCGATGGTAGTCCAAAGTTTCGAATATTCGTCCAATTGTAATTGTGCAATAAGGAACTTTTGCATCCTTTGCATCTATAAATTCTATTCGATAATGAAGATGTACGATAGTCTATACAATTCACTTCTTTCTCGCATATATGAGAAACGCCTGGATGTAACAATTCATCATAATATTCTCTAATCGAGTATTTCTGATACATGTTCTTTGAGCACTTGTCGATATTTGTCCTCCGTACAACATAGGCATCGCGAACGCACGTTTCCTTATCTAATTTTAGAATACCTTCACCATTATTAGACTTGATTACACGAATTAAAATAGGCTCACGATTTTGAGTGGCGACACTTATTTTTCTCTCGAAATCTTGTCCGGGCTCGGTTATGACGCCTGTGTCTTGTAATTGCTTCGAAATGTATTGAGTTCCCATGTCGTGAAGCGATACTTGCGACATATTTAAACCAATATGTTCATGGTTCTCTAAATGTGTAGTAATTTCTTTATCTCTAACAGAAGGTTTTCTTTCCATCGTTGTTTTCACATACGTATCTTCTGAAAGACTGTGATCTTGAATTCTTGATGTGGAGGGTTCATACAGTACTTCAACGTCTTTCGAATTTGTATAAGAAGCTGTAAATTGATCTGTGGCATTCTCAACGTCTTTCGAATTTGTATAAGAAGCTGTAAATTGATCTGTGGCATTCTCAACGTCTTGAGTCTGAATCGAATTTATAGCAGAATTTGGTTTCGAAAGGTATTTATCTTTCGACTTGGATCTAGAACAAAACTTATTTAACTGTCTCTTTGAGCAATCGGCGAGCATATATATTTTTAAAATTTCGTCTGCACATTCTTTTATCTTACTCAAAACAATAAATGTTTCGATCACATTTTCTTTCCTTACACAGCCTTTTTGTACTGAAAATAATAATTAAAAATTTCAATATATGTCTTCTTAACATTTACTATTTTTAGAATACTTAAAAATACTAACCACTCTTGCTATTTAATACAAGAGCTTGTTTCATTAGCTTTAAAAAGGTTTTGGTAAACATTGCTACAGTGTTATCTTCCTCTTTTTTTTCCAAGCACGATAAACAATTTAAACTTTCTAATTCAATAGTAGAACTATTGGCAGAATGTGTATTCTCATTTGCAAATTTACATGAAATTTGCTCACAAATAGTTGTTTTTAAAGCTAGATAAAAAATATGTTGAACATTATTATTTATATAAACATGAAACAAACTAAATTTTTACATAAAGAATAATCATTGCTTACAATTAGAATTCGCATTATCTTTCTTCGATAAGAGTGATGTAACAGAATGTGTTTTTACTCTTTCTTGCGCCACTTTTTCCAAGTGTTGAAGTAAAGCTTTTGTCACTGTGGTATTGTGTTTGATAATTTCCATTATATCAGGAGAACAAATTTCTTTAAAGCAAACTTCATTTTCAATGAGTTTCTTATCGTCGAATGTAAGACGAGTTTTTTTTGCTTCTGCACAAATAGAAAATAAATTAACAATGCCATTTGTGTCATTCATGAATATGCTTTGTACATTATTCTTTGCAATTATATTACGCAAATATTGTTACTTATATACTTAATAAGATTTACAATTAAATATAAATTATAATGTTATATTTCTTGAGATATTAATTTTAAATATATGTTGAAATATAAAAACCTTTCTGATCTCGACACAAATTGTTAGTATCTTTCTGACATTTATCATTTGTTAAATCTTTCAATAAATCTCTTTGTATCAGCGGTACATAATTTCTATTAGTAGTTATCAATATAAAATTAGGAGGGGAATCTTCTATAGTCTTTATGTGAATCATATCTCGAACATTGCTAGCAGGACATTCTATAATATTCGTATCAACTTGCTTTGCTTCTCGCATTGAAGAATATTTATGAAAAGCTTGGTAATCACTTTGGCTCATACAGATCGTATTTTGAATTTCCTGATCGTGAAGTTTCCTCTGGCACTTTTGTATATCTGCTTGTGTTTTTGACACGCAAATCGTATTTTGTATTTCTTTATTGTATTGTTTAACGTTAGTTCCCACTTGTTTTGTTCGCCTTTCTGGAAATAATCTTTCACTTGAAAATTGCGTTCCTTTTGTGCAGAATTTTGGTTTGGACATAATAATTGCTCCCGGCGTTTTCTGTTGATTTATGTAATTGCAGGCGCCCTGCGGATAGTCGGTACGAGTTGTAAATATATTTGCTGTATAATTAGTGTGGCTTGATAAATTATTAGAAAAGTTTGGATTTGGAATTATATTATTATATCTTTCTTGATATATATTTTCTGCTGTTCGATTATGTGCTTTATGTATGTCTTCGTAAGGTTTATCGGCTAAATTAAAACATTTTGGAACTGCCATATCTAATGATTTCATTTGTTGATAAGTTTTCTTAGAAGTTATATTTAATCTATCAGGTTTTGTATCTTCCCAATCATAGGCTGGAGATTGCAATAATGCCGCATCATTTTCTCTCTCAATTTTATGATTTAATACATTAGGATTTCCTATTATATATCATGTTTAAATATGATAAATATATAAATTCAATATTTTATTATTGAATAAATTAATTCAAAACTAAACGATTAGTTCTTAAGTATATTTTTTTACCAGTTTTTGTAAATTTTGTATTTTTTCTTGATTTAGTCTTACAATCTTTTGTTTCTTGTTTTGTTTCTTGCGCACAATATATATTTTTATATTTGTCATATGGAGTAATATAATTTTTTAAAATCCCAGGAAATATCGTTTTCTCTGATCTCATTATGTTCTGTTTATGATAATATAAATATTTAATTAAATGATCTTCTTCACATACAAGTAATATCTTAATATTATCTTAGCAATATCTTAATATTTAATTTAACAACGTAATTTGTAAGATCAAAAAATTAATATATGTCAAAATAATGCGTGTATAATATTATATCTTTTGCATGGATAATATATATAAAAATTTTTATATATTTCACCTGTAACTTATTTTGATCATCAATCACCTTAGTTAACATTTCGGCTATTATGGGAAACCAAGCAAAAGGAGATTTGTACGGTTTACGCAATTGAAATCCCTTAATAACTCGTATTTGTTCCTGTCCATATCTAAAACGAGTAACATTTTTAAAATTGATTCAATCTAAACGAAAATAAAATAACGAAAATAAAAATAAAATATAAATCTCTATTAAAATAAATGAAGAATCTTATCGTTTACTTTTCTCTTGTATTGCTTTTACTTTTCTCTTATTACTTTAATCTGTTCTAGACAATCAGATATATTTAATTCGGGTATGTTAAGTTCTTTGATGATGTCCTTCAATGCCTCATTTTTTGCTAAGCAGTCGTAATATTTCACATGATATGGATTCCAAAGACATGGATATTTTCGATATGTATTTAAAAAGAAGAGAGTAGAATTTTCGTTCCACTTAAAAAACATAATTATTTAATTCATTAATAAGAATACAAAACTAATATTCACGTATTATACGGATGAAAAACTTGCATAATTTTACATGACAACCATGTGACGAAAACTACAATCTTTATAAAATCCTGAGTGAACATATTTACTTATCAATATACAAACAAAAGTTTTCTATTGTTTGTTAAATAATCAATATGAGCTCAATTTATTTGTTTATTTATTTAATAATATACATAATTGCATCACTGATAAAAATATTAATATTTTATTTGCATTGTCATACATTTATTGATATTTTAATAACGAATTTGTTTCCTATGTATTATTATTTATAAATATAACTTCAATTTAAATAACAATTTAATAATAATAATCACAATTACATAGTATAATATTGTCAAAATTTTTTCTCTCTCGTGTTTATTTCTTGTAGCAAAATCTATAATCCTTGTTTTCTTTAATTTTAGTAAGCAATAAACATTCTTTTAATGTTAAACCACAATTGCAGGTTTTATCTTTACACATTATTTTACAACTATTACAATCGCAACAGCAGACTGAACTACCTTGATCTAACAGTCTGAATTCTAAAATTTTTAATCGTGCTTTTGTAATCAAATTTTGTATTTTGTTTTCCAATTCCACAGCAGTCTCTAAGAACAAATTATACTAATTCAATATACAATTATCATGTGACAATCAACAAATTTTACTTACGAATATCAATAGTTCTCAATTGAAAGGCTATACTTTTCCCGAATATATCAAAATTGTCTTCAATTTTTCTTATACTACGCACTTCCATAGAAATATCATCCGTGCATGTGGAATGATCCTATTATAAAAGATTTTATATTTTTCCCATCTTTTCTTCTTGAAAAATTGATAGTATTACTTGCTGTTATTTAATACGTATAAACCTTTTTTCTTTCGTTGTCGCCTGCGATGTATTTTCGCTCCTGTTTTAACATTATAGTATTGTAATAATGTAACATTATTAAAAATATCTATATTTCATATATTTAATAGTATATCTTTAATAGTATATCTTTCATATTTGTTTCTAACATGAAGCACATCCGTTTGTGTTTCGTTTTCTGTACTAATACTACTAGTTTCCACTGCTACATCAACAGTTTGAATTTTTTTCAAAGAGATGAGAGAGTCCTGTAGTTTTGGAACAGAGTGAACAGGATCTCTATAATTGTGAAAAAAATTATAGTAACTTTATCTCGCGATTTAAAGTTATATAAAATAAATATATAAATAATAAATGACCTCAATTTTAAACACAATTCAATCTCTTGAAGTTCACATGCTCCACAGATATTATTTGAGCAAATCTGTTTGTCTTCTGATTTCTCAAAATTGTTTTGAGTACTGCTGTCATTAAATTTTTGATAGTTGTTATTTTGCTATAAATATATTCATGCGTGTTATAAATATGATATATAAAAATAATGTATATATAATCAAATATGAACAAAACTCATAATATTGATTTTAGAAGCAATGTTATTTATAATAAATTATAATTATTAATATTGTATAACATAAGCATAATATAACCATAAAAACCGTTGCATTTCTTAAACATTATTTTGTTATATTATACCTTTCTGAGATTATTATCGTGAGATAACATGTATGGAAAGAAAAGCATATGCATCCTTTTAAACCATTTCGCTTTTGGCGCATACAATTTTTCACAAGATATAGCTGCAGCAATTTTTGATAGTTCATAACAGTATTCTTTCTTTATACTTGCAATCCTCTTAATGTAATCACATATTGTTAATCCAGGTATATTAACAGAATTTTTTATTTCTTTATATGCTTCATAACGAAGAGATTTGTTGGTAAATTCAGGATGAAATGAATTCCATAAATACTGATATTGTTCATAAAGCGCTATTAATTTTTCGGTATCATCCTCAGTCCATACATTTGGCATATTAAAGAATATTTTATAACAAACCAATTAGGTTATTTAACCTTTTCAATTAGTATTATTAAGATCAAAAAATATATTCTGATAAAAGTTTGCCTTTAATTTTGCATCAATTGATATTTTTTTAAAAAGGACTGACAAAGAGAATATGTTATAAATGTTACGGTAAGCCTGTTCATTATACTGCTCTGCTATAAAATACAGAAATTTAGAAAGAGAGAATGTAAAGAAAAAGATGAATGATACACTGTATATCATTAAAAATAAATGAAAAGTTTGAAAGGAAGACATGAGGTATTAAATTTCATTTATCAATTTCAAGTATATCTTCATATTTTCTTTTCATATATTCATGTATTAGAAGTATAAATATAAATTGTACATCTGTTTGTAAATTTTTTTATAATCTTATGTTAAATGACAACATATCTTGCTATTATCAAGTATGCAATTTCTAATTTATTACAATGCCTCATCCTAATCATCGTATTCAATTTGATTTTATTGCTACAATTTGTGTTTTCTCCATTGCAATGGTAATTTTCTATTTTCTTAATTTATTACAAATATTGGTCGTTTTGTTAAGTTCGTAGTTGTAACGGCTTTACTAGAAATATATCGCATTCTATTTTTTGATTAGCATTAATTAAAAAATAATAAGTACTACAATTGTTGTTACATAAATATATATGTTTAAATCTAAAGTTACATATATATATTTAATATTATATAATTTGATTGTATCATATGGCAAGTTTATCATAAATTATATATGATAATTATTTTTTAAAATCAGTTAATTATGTGATCTCTTATGGTGATCTCTTTTATGGATTAAGAGAACTGATATTTGATAAAATATCTAAAAAAAGATTTATACACAACAAAATTGTTGCGTAAGAGATGTTACTGATAATAACTTGATAACCAAGTTACGTAATTAAATAGTAAGTGGATTTAGTTTCCTCTTCGACAAAAATATATATTCTATCTTTCTGGACATATAAGCTCGATCAACGGTATACTATGTTATATATAAATTATATACAGTATTATTTTTATATGTAACAATTATAACTCCATCACTCATGACTGCCTACTGTTAATCTACATTATTGTATCTTACTGTGCTTAAATCTATATTACGGCGCGTTATAACTACATGTATTCTTCAAGAAGTCGTTTCAATTGTCGAAGACAATGTAGGTAGCTGCTGTGGAACAAAGTTTACAGCTTCATGATACACAAGTTCTACAAATGAAAATATTCATTAGTTATAATGTAAGAATGCTTCGAATTGAAAAAAAACCAAAAGAAAAGATATGTTACCTTTCCACTTTTCTACTGGAAGGTCCATATCTTCGAAACTTTGGTCGTATGGTAGAGAAACAGGTTCGTCAGTTGGATCTGCATATTGTGCAAGATATGGATGGGCTAAAGCTTGTTCTGCAGTGATCCTTTTTTCTGCATCCAATTCCAACATCAGTTCCAACAAATCAATAGCTAAATAAAAAATTAAATATTATTCTATCTATCATTCGACATGTATTGATATAGATTATTAAATAAATAGTTTTCATTTACCTAAAGGATTAGCTCCACGAAATACATCTTTAAAATTTTTTTTCTTCAACGGCGGTAAACTCTGAATATAATTTCTTGCCTGTAACAATAATTTAATTATAAAAAAAAGCATAATATTTTTTAAAAATCAATAACTATCCATACAAAATAAAAATTATATTTTATGTATACAATAGACATTATATATGTATATATATTGCACTTTCTATCTGTGCATTCTATACTTTTATTTAATTTTATTAATAGATATTTAATCTTTACATGAACTTCCCGAAAGTTTTAAAGAAAGAAACAAGTTTTTAAAACATAGCAAATAATAGAACTTATAATAAGAAGCATTAGACATAAATTAGATTAACAAATTAAAATAACTATAAAATATTTAAAAACATATTTATTTTTCTCTTATATATAATACATTTTAAATCTTAAAGTTTAATATATATATTAAATTGTAAAACAAATTTACCTCTTGGCTAGTAATTTTGCTTAATGTTTCTTCTGTGGGTGTACCACAGAGTACTAACACTCGTGTTAGATGATCAATGTCTGCTTATGGTTAAGGTATGTTTGAAAAAGCAATATTAATTAAATAACAATTAAAAAATAACAAGTTTTGTTAATCCTAAACACATGAAACCATTCCCATAACTTGTAAGTGATTGAATCTAAAGCAAGCTGCATATTTATTATAAAGCAGCGTGAGTTAAAGCTTTAAACTAGAATCAAAAAAAGAGATTTAACTTTATATATTTTATTAATATCATATTTGCATAAAACTTATGTAAAATTTTAATTTTTTTCTATTTAGACATACCTTACCTTATTACAACTTGTTTTTAAATCTATATTAGCTTAAATTTTTCTATTTATTAATTTAATAATTATATAAATGTGTTATTTTTAATTATTACTAATATTACCATAAATATAATTTATATAAATTCGATTTTATATCACTAGATTATTGTATCAATAATACATTAAACTTATAAGTTTGCCAAGATGTAATGTTTATGTTTCATTTCAACAAACAGAAAAAGAAACAAGCACAATCTACATATTTTGTACAGGTTGTTTAAAACGTGCACCTCATGCTATAAAGTAACTACTGTAAAATAAAACGACTTACCGATTCTGACGATATTTTTTTCATAAATTCGTCTCGTGGAGTACCCAAAATTTCCATAATTAAGTTCAGTTGATGAATATCTGCTCTTGCTAAGGCTCCACTATATTTTTTTTTGAAGACACTAAATATCCCCTTTATAAAACAATTTTTACTACTTCTAAAAGCGTTACAAGAATGTTCTAAATATCATCAATATTTTTATATATATATAGTCCTTATTATATTTTAATCATGCTGAGAATTTACAGATAACTTTTAGATTGCAGAATGATGCAAAATATGAGCGAATAATTTTCTAAAAGCAGAATATGTGCAGTGATATTAGATTTAAGAATTCAACTAGGCAACTATGGGATATCAGTTAATATAGACCCTTAGCAAAAAGCATATTTATTAAAAGACATTGCAATTGAATGATATAAAAATATTTACTAATACTAACAGGCTTGTGTTAAAAACATAAAACGTACATTTGTTATGTGATTTATGAGAAAAAAATTAGGTAGTATAACAAAAATTTATCAAGAACAAAGGATACGATCAGTTCCAGGAAATAATGTTCTTCCAGTTAACAATTCTGCCATAATGCATCCCACTGACCAAATATCAACTAAAATGTACAATAGTATTACAGTATCATATGATAAGAATCTTATAAGATAAAGTAGATAACATATCTCTCTTCGCTAATTCTCTTTCAGATGAGACTGACCTGTTTGATTATAATGCATCCAATTAAGCATTATTTCAGGTGCTCTATACCATCTAGTAGCAACGTAACCAGTCATCTCATTCTCCGTGGGTCTGGCTAAACCAAAATCCAATATTTTTAACTCACAGTCCTCATTGACCGCTATGTTAGATGGCTTCAAGTCCTATCGATCAAATCTGAAGTGAAAGACTGTTATACTCTTTCAAGTTTTATAAATATACAATATATTTTCATACTCTATGTATAATTCCTGCAGAATGGATATATTTCAAACCACGAAGGATCTGATAGACAAGAAATTGCACATGATCATCGGAAAGCTTTTGCGTTCTGACAATGTTATTCAGGTCGGCACCCATTAGATGCGTGACTAGATATCTATATAAATAAATAACACAATTAATGGATGAACTAATATTGATCTCTTATTTGATTGCACTTACACGTGTTGAAAATCTTCCAAAGATGAAGACGGATGAAATACATCTAACAGTCCTATCACCTATAAAGGAGCAAGTGTGTCTTTAAGATTGACTATAAACATAAAGTATCTACAGGCGTAATTAGGTTTACTCACATTTTCATGATTCATATGTTTTAACATACGTAACTCCCTGTATGTGCGTTTTGCATGCACAGCTGATTGAAATGGTCTAGCCAATTTCTTGATTGCTACTTTTTGTCCAGTAGTTGTATCTACCGCTGAACTAAAATGCAAAAAATAAAATATATATGTATATATATATACATTTATTTTCCAATGCTTGCACTTTTTATTGGCACTTTTTATATAATTCTCAAGCAAATGATTTGCATTTGATTATTATAGACTTTAATGCTTCTGTCATTCATTGTTGATCATCAATCATTCTTAATTATGATATTATTGTATTACAAAATAATAATAGAACTTCATAAATTCATTATTTTCTATTTCGATTTGTTTCTTCTCTTTTTTTATCAGATTCATGATATACAGCTATTTTATTTCAAACATAGCGTAAATGTTTAGACTGATTCTGTCAAATAAGATTTCACATTATTTCTCAATCGTTTCGTCGACAAATATCGCGAACCGTTCCAAAATCATTCTATTTTCGCGGAGAAATGCGGAAACGCATGCGCAAGGAATCCTCGGAACTAATGCATCCCCGCAATAATTACATCAGAGCCCTTCCCCATGATGGAGAACAATCGTACGACGATCTCGCCGCTTCAACGCTAAAAATGTAAATGTCAAGGTTGCGACATGGTTCATGGTTCCAGTAACGCGGGAAATATCTCATTCCAACAATTTTCACCTAGCTGTCAACCGATCAATTATCACACAAGATTCCTAAACGTTAGCCAACAACAAGGCAGAGAACAACACGAAGTTCCAAAGAAACAAAAAAATAAATTTATATAAAAATTCGAAAAAAGTAGAAATATAAATTGTAGAAATAAGAAATAAAATTAAAACATCTAAAATTTATGTTACGACGCTCGGAAAATAATACTCTCGACAAGATTGAAAAATTTTTTTGCGACTCAGGCGACGGCTCTTTGGCGAGATCCCTGCTGTGAGTAAATCGCAACCAGAGGTTCTCAGCTTGACGAGACGCTCGCTCACTCGCGCGCGCGCGAGCGCGCACACAATATATATATATATCGCTGTTGATGATGCCGTCCGCTTACCAGACCTGGCCGTAGGCGCCCGAGCCCACGGGAGTGAGCAACTGGTACCGCTCCGGTACCTCCCATTCCGTCCTGTTGATCTCGATCTTGTGAAACTGCGGCATGCCTGTGTCACGCGCGTCACGGCGTCTCCGCTCGTTCCGGCGAGAATTAACAGCGGCGGATGGCAGTGGCGACGGCGGTGCGTTCTCACGTTTTCACCGATCTCTATCGCGCGCGATACCTCATCTCCAAATCAGCCGTTGCCGTTACGAGTTCATCGCAGGCAAGCGGACTGTGCTCACACTCGGGACCAACGAGCGTATCCCTGATCGATCCTACCGCACAGACGTTTCTCGATACTCGAGGCTATCGATAGACTAATCGATACTCTTCCGGATATCGAAAAGAAGGAAAGGAAGTAATTCGAACATCGTATCGAAGGAACGCTTTTAAACTTCTATTCATAAAATGAATATTTTTTTTGTGTTCATTTTTATCAATATAGATTAATATATAATCTCGGTTTAATTCACTCTTTATCATTTTCCAATTTTTGAAATTGAAAACAGATAAAAGATTAATTTTAATCTTGATTCAATTGTTTGTTATTTTCTTTTAGTTCTAAAAGATGAAAAATAAATTAAACTGAAATTGAAGTTTATCTGCATAAGTAGAAAAAAATGAAACATAAATGGAAATAAAATGGAATAAATACCAGAGAGAAGCCTGAGAGCGGACATGTCCGCGATTTAGCTGTAATTTTGAAGCGCCTCTATGTCCATAAAAATGTGGACATTGAACTATATAACCAATGTCCACATCCTGTTGGTAATGTCCACGATTGCGTGGTTCTCATTCATGCTAATGTCCACGATTTTGTGGTTTTGTTCCGTGCTATATGCAAGAGTGACAATTAGTTAGATAAAGAGGGACGATCAATCTCTCTCCGTCCTTGTCTCACAAAATCGGAAATGTATCGTATTGATTATTTATCATAATTCTAACAAATCTAGTTAGTTTTAGCAAACTTCTATGCTATAATTTCTTTTGCGTTTTTATTGATCAATTTATAGAAGCCCTCCACCACCCCCGTCAATTTCACTTCTTGGCGGTCCTCTTTTCTTTATATGCATATTTCAAATTTTCTTATGTTTATTATTTTTTATACAATATAAAAAAATTATTACAATATAAAATATAATTTAATAATATTCAATAAAAATACAATAAAAATACAAAAGTTTAATACGAAAAAAAGAAACATTATAACACAACACAATAATATTTCATAATACAACATAATATATCATAAAATAATAATTTGTATTGTTCGGTAACAAAAATTGTTATTGTTCAGTCGGAATAAAATCTGAATTTGTGAAGACCCTCCACCATCCCCACCAATTTTGATTGGCGGTCTTCTTTTTTTGCATACATGTTTTAATTTGTTTTAATATTTATTAATTATAGACAATTAACAATTTTGGTACCAAACTAAAATACAAAGTTACAAAGTTATACATTTTTAATGTATTATTTACAATTAAAGAAATCAATATAATAAACCGAGAATATATTTTAAAAGAACAGAATATAGGGTAGATTTTATATGTGTATATATATATATATATATATATATATATATATATATATATATAAATATATAAAGAATAAAATACAGAGTACTAATGTGTCAATACTGTCAACACATCACGTTCGAGAGGAGAATACGTGACGGACTGCGCGAAACCATGACCTAAAAAGATCATGGACCAAAGCCTGTTTCACTCGTGTGTCACTAAGCATGCGTGGGAATATAATTCGCATGCCGCATTCCGAATCTGGGGGCTGCGGCTCGCAGGGACGTTAAGTATGGGGGCGATTTGCAGCGATCGACACGATCGTGCGACAGATAAACGACATTCTGACGCACACTCTTATTACTCTGTGTGTTAAATCGCGCTGCGGATTTTATATTTCGATATGTAACTCCCTCCTGCAACATAGAGAGCGCAGATATGTAGATTCGCAATCTACCCTTCATTACTCTTTCTTCCGGACGATGGAAACGCGCAAACAGTCGTTCTGCCAAGAGATAAGCTGCACAAATTAGCTTTTTCCATCGCTGCTCTGTAAAGCTCTTTTTTTCTTTAGTTCATTTAACGTGTTCCCCCGTTGTAGATTTT